TTAAACTGGGGAAAGCTCAAATACAAGATGTAACCTGTTGTTACCACCACATGTTTGACATTGGTGGGTTTCGACTGAAATGTTGTGATTTAAAAATTTTCACAGATGTTTATGTCCTAGAAAAAAACATTTGACTTGTCCTGTTCTTTGGTTTATTCTACATTTCTACAATTCACTTGGCAGACACTTTTATTCAAAGCGACGTACATCAGAGAGTAAGTACAACACAAACAAGGATCTAGAAAAAAGGGAACAATGTCAGTAAGAGCAAACAATCAGCTTTGAGTCCGATTGGACACACAGGTGCTGACAGGAAGTGACCAGAGGCAAAGCACAACATTGACGGCAGTTCTTGGGAGCTCTAATCAGTATAGAAACCATCTTATAAGTCCTCGTTATCAAACAGAAACCATCGTCATTACCATCATCATTATCAATAATATATTGAGACCATCATCATTAAGTTAGTAGGTATTCATGAAAGAGCTGGGTCTTTAGCTTTTTCTTAAAGGTGCAGAGGAGTTTGGAGGACACGAACCAGCAGAGGGCAGATACTGAGATGCCAAGTTCAGAGAGCGTGGATAGGAGGATTTGATGGTTGACTGGGTCAAAGGCAGCAGACAGGTCTAGCAGTAATAGAACTGAGGACTGACCCGCAGCTCTGGCAGCTCGTAACGATTCTGTTACTGACAGTAGTGCAGTTTCAGTAGAGTGGCTCTGCTTAAATCCTGACTGATTTGGGTCAAACAGGTCGTTTCTGGACAGGAACTCAGAGACTTGCTTAAAGACTGTGCGCTCATGTATTTTTGACAGAAAGGGCAGAAGAGAAACCGGTCTGTAGTTTTCAACCTGGGCTGGGTTTAGTGTGGGAGCAGAGGGGTGACCAGAGGTTGCTTGAATGCGATGGGGAACACACTCGTTGACAGAGAGGAGTTGATGATATGCTTAAGTGTAGCATTAAGCAGAGAGGAAATGGTCTGCAGGAGGCTTGATGGTTTTGGCTCCAGAGGACAGGTGGTGGGCCGAGAGTCTAGCACAAGCTTAGAGACTTCATCCTCAGTCAGAGAGGAGAATGAGTCAAGTGAGGCACTTTTGGTTGGTGCCTTTGGGCTGAGTTGGTCAGGCTCAGAAAACTGGTTACTGATGGTTGAAACCTTTTCAGTAAAATACGAGGCAAACATGTCTGGTGTGAACAGATCGGAGGGTGGAGGAGGAGGTGGTGGAAGCAGTGAGTTAAAAGCAGAAAACATTTTTCTTGTATCTGTGGCATTGCATATCTTGTTCTGATATATGTTGTCTTGGGCGTTTTCAGGCTGGAGGAGAATGAGACAAGTCTTTGCTTATAGTCATTGAGGTCAGCGGACTGTTTGGATTTTCTCTCTGCTGTTTATGTCCAATTACATGAAAAACACATGGCAACCATATACTGATTTTAAAAAGGCATATTTAAAAGAACATATTTGTGTGTTTTGACAAAAAAATATTTTCTGTTTTGACAGAAAGGTCTTCTTGGAAATGTTAATATAATGAAGTACTTAGACAGTGATGACGAAAATCAGTATGCAAGCATGGTCATGTTAGCAATTAGCAGTGGTGGGAGGTATTTGGATTTCCTTCAGTAAGAGTATGGATACCAGACTTGGAAAATAAAAAATATGTAATCAGAAAAGGTAAGAGAATTTATTCTACCTGCAACGAAACACACAGTCCTTCAACACAAACCTGTAGTGGTAATACTGAAATAAAGCTGAAGTTTGTTATATTTGCTCACCCACGTACACCCAGCTGTCTTGTTTTGACATAGGTGACAAGCAAGGTTTGAAATGACTTTTCCCCACTGGCATTAAACAAGACAAATGTGTCCATTCACAATGAGTAAAAGAACAGTGTGACATAAGCAATGTGGTACTTTTGCATTATCTCCAGCAGACCAGATCAGCTTCTCTCGTTAAAAAACAGAGGATGATACTAAACCCCTTATGGGCTCTCAGTCGAGGGTTGTCCTCAAAAAAGATTGAGCTTGAAATCATAAATAATACATGACATATGCATTACTCTACTATTGAGGTTTTATATCAGCTCCCCCTCACTCCCTCTCTCTCTTGACCTAGAATATATGTAAACTCTATCACATGGCAGTATCTATGAAATATGATCAAATGTCACAATGTCAGAGTTTACGAACAAACTGACTAAGACTTGTTCTAGCCTCAAACCTTGAAAATGCAACAGTAGAGAACAAATATAGATCAGTTGACCGCTCATCTCCAACAGTATTAGAAAACGATGGGTGTTGTGAGGTCACAGACTTCACAATTCAAATCTTGAAGATAGTTTTTTTTTAAACTTTATATAAAATGCAGCTGCTGGCAGATGGGCAGTCAAGAGGTGATCTTGCAGCTATCTGAGATTTACAAGTGCAATATAACGGTGGTGAAACAAAGCAGCTTTGTTGGAGTTGTGTTCACACATTAGTTTAGTACAGGGGTGCTCAAACTTTTCAGCTCAGTAAGTTAATTATGAAAAACCCTACATATTGACAGTGAATGTGAGGGTTGTTTCCTCTCAGACTGCCACAGTGACACTAATAATGTGGTCATTAATATGACTCCCCCTGCAGGACAAAATATTGGTCCTGGGAGGACAGGGCCTTCTCCATTGCTGCTCCCAACCTCTGGAACACACTCCCAAAAAACATTAGAGACTCACCCACACTCACTTCCTTCAAGAACTCACCTCTTCATCACTGCCTACAACCACTAACTCCCATCCACCCCCCCTTACATTACTCCTTCGTTGTACTGTCCTCGATGTTCTTGTTTTGTTTTTGGTTGTTTTTGTCAAAGCGTCTTTCAGTATTTAGAAAAGCGTTATATAAAATGAATGTATTATTATTATTGAAGCAAAAACAAGCAATGCTAGAGTTACTTTCCCAAGCAGGCCTGCCCGCAAAAATGGCCCTCACAGGTCGACAGTCCATGGTCGCATCGGACACAGGACCAAGTAACTAGTTCAATTTATAATGAGGTAACTCAGTTTGTAACTTAATTGCATTTAACTGTAACTATTAGTCATTTTTATTTTGCCCATCATTTTTTATGTCTATAAGTTGACTGAAAAGACGATATTTCCTTACATGTTTTTCTACTAAGGACGTATAAAGGTGTTTCTTTAATTTAACATGGGTGGAGATTCATAATCTGTTTTCATGTTTAACACCCCCCCCCCCCCCCCCCAGGAAAAAATGGAAATTACTGAGGAGCCTCTGTTTCATTGTCTATGGCTGCATAACGGCTCACCACATCGATATGAGTCAGAAATTATTTCCTTATGATGTACAATTTTCTGCAATAACGATATCATGATATCATGTGTTAAAGGGTAAAAATATCCAGTATGCCCGGTAGATGAAAAGAAAACACCTTTAAAAATGTTTATCTGTTTAATGAAGTTTTCAAGTGATCATTTCTGATGCTTCCCAGGAGGTCAAGGAAATACATACGCTGATTGGCTTTTGCGAAACAGCACAAAATGAATTTGTGGCCCATGTACTTCTTTCTTTCTCTTCAGTCATCTGCTGCAAATTAGCATGCGTTCGACAGAACAACATGGTCAGAACATTCCTTTTGAAAATGCCAACTGTAACAAGCAGCCATTAAAAACGCACAAATAGCCTAGCCCCCCCCCCAGGTCGTAGGCTATAGTCCTCGTCACAGCTGCTGTGGGTTTGAATTTGAGCTCGGCCCTTTGCTGCATGTCATCCCCCCACTCTCTTCTATCATTATTTCTCTCTTGAATTGTCCTATCTAATAAAGTCAGAAAAGACCCCAAATTAAAGAAGTAAAACCTTGTTAAATTTCTAGCAGAAGACTTATGGTTTGAAGTTTATAAACTAAGCTAGATTCATTTTACATTGTGTGCCCTGCGGTGGAATTTGTATTGACTTTCTTCATATTTCTCCACAACATCATGAGGAAAAGGAAATTACCTCATAGCATCTTGAATCATTACAGACAAACTCTTGATATGGCAAATATACACCGCTCAAATTCAGCTGAAGCTGATCTGAGGTGACAGTTTTTACTGCATGCCCTTTGCACTAATTGGCAGGAACCTCTGCTGCACCACTGGTGAAGTGAGAGGTTCAAGGTCCCGAGAGACCAGAGGGGATTTGAAGACTTCGAAGTTTCATTTCCTCTGAGCCCTGGAACGTGACCCTGAAATAAAGTAAGAGATAAGAGCTGATTTATAAGCACGACCGTCAGACAGGGCTTAATTTAAAGACAAGCAAATTTAATGCAAATGCATGATTATGTTCCACTGATTTCAAATCCACTGATATAGATTATGTGGATGATATGCACATTTTGTATATAATTTACATTCCCAATGATACTTGGGATTGTTGTTAAATAAACCATAATGTACATAGTGCTGCTCATTAAATTGACCAGAGAAGTTATCGACTGACTTAATTTTAGTAGTAGGCTGTTTATTTTCACAACTGTGCCTGCGCACATTAAAACACAGTCAAAGGGGAGGGGGAGGGGTTGTGGTTGGAGGGGATTGGAGTGGTCTTGTCTTATGTGAATTGTATTCCCATGATACATAACCATTTTTTCTTTATCAAACCCTCCCCAATGCCAGCAGCATCCGAACAAAGTGACTCTGAAAGATTGGTGACAGCATTTCAGGAAGTTACCATTTCACTTTAAATAACTATGATTCATGCTGCAATACACAAAGATTGTTTTTGATTCTATTTGATTGTTTAATGAACAAATCTGTCAATGTCAGATGGACTTGCAGGAAAAAGACTGGGTGAAAAATTTGACTGCTTGCGTTCACTCATGAAGCGCTCCACAGAAATGTTCGTGTTTGTGTGTGTGTGTGTGTGTGTGTGTGTGTGGGTGTTTGTGTGTGTGTGTGTGTGTGTGTGTGTGTGTGGGGGGGGGTCATCAGAAACTGTTGGGCCCAATGCTGGTCTCTCATCCCTCCTTCTGCCTTGTGAGAAGCGCTGCTGATAGAGCGCCCAGCTGCCTCTTATCTGTCAGAGCCAACAGGTGTCCTTGTGAGAAGGATTCATGACGCGAATGCTGAACTTCACCTGCTGACCAGGTCAGGTGGACTCAAAGTGAGGTCACGTCGCCAGGAGGGAGATGCAGCAAGGACATGTATGTGGACCTCAAGTCTATTCTATCTAAAATTGCTCTGATGCTCAGCATTCATGTCTTAATTATTTCAACATGGGTTTGAGAGAAAGTGGATTTTTAAACAACATTAAGGATGTGTGACAGACTGAGGCTTTGTTCAGACTGCAGTTAAATAGGATTTAGGTTTCAAATCAGATATTTAACACAGACTGTCAGAATGCACTTGATGGAATCTGGTGTGTACAACACATCTCCAAGCCTTTTGCCTTATCTGTTGTTGTACAACTATGTAAGGGGAATCATTATTTCTGCTTGTGAGGTTGGTGAGAGAATTAATTCACTGCAGTCAGGTGTGTGTTTGACTGATTGTCTTTGATTAAGCCCAGGTGTGGGGAGCTTATACTCTGTGTTGACTCATTATCATGCTGACTCAGTAGAGCCAATTAAGTCGATTAACAATCGATCTCAAGGTTGCTTATTTCCATGTCCCTATTTTTCGGGGACATTGGAAGGCTTACGAGTTCAAAGTCCTCCTATTTCGCCCCTCCCAAATCATCATTCACATTCATGTACAGCTCAGAAAATGACATGCAGTTGTATGATGTGAAGGCAGAGAGAGAGAGAGAGAGACAGAGAGAGAGAGAGAGAGAGAGCTGGTTCACATAGTAGACAGAGATTTACTGCACACTTAGAGGTAAATATTTAATAGATTGTTTAGACAACAACATTAACGAAGACAATTGGAAGATTGTTTTTTTTCCCCAAAAATAATTATTATATCTATTAGAAGTATATTGTAGTTTAAAGGTCCCATATTCTTCTTTTTCTGGTTTTATATGGTCTTTAGTGTGTTTTCCAAGTGTCCTGTGCATGTTTAGGGACATCTATGTGCAAAAATTCAAAGTCCGCGGAAAAGCGTCTTCTCCTACGTCCTCCTGTTAGCTGTAGCATTAGCCACATGTAACGCTCGGTTCTAGCCCCCCTCAATAAAAATGTGTCAGTCCGACGTCATTGTCAGTGTGAGATCACTGATCTAAGCCCATTGGCTCGTTGTGGCGAGCCCTGCAGCTCATGTTGAAATTTCCGAGACGCGTGCTGAGCAACTGACCAATAACGACAGAGCAGATCGGCAGACCAATCAGAGCAGACTTGGCCCACGTGGGGTCTAACAGTGTGGGCTCAACAGAGTGTAGCTGACGGACTCAGAGCGTAGAGGGAGCAAGGAGGAGCAGTACATGAAAACAGACTCTTTTTTCTGACTTTAGCTATTGTGAACGTACAAAAGTAGGTACATAGATTAAATATACGAACCCCAAAAAGGGCATAATATGAGCTCTTTAAGGGTGCGTTCGAATTGTCATTTTTGCTTAGGAAGGTTCCTAACTGAGTGAAATGACCCGGAAGCATTTAAGTGGCGGCCATGATAAGAGCCGTACGAATTCTCTAAAAGCTAAGGGAAAGGTGGGTCAATGCACTGGATACACTGGACCATCCTTTACCAAAGGAGATGAGATATGCCGCCCCACAATTCCTTGAGGCTGCAACATTAAAAGAGAGTCGCGCATCCGACCGTTCACGAACATTAACGATGACCGTAAAGGGGCTCAGATCATGTTTTATTCAGCGTATTTCATTCACTTAATGATGCTTTGTGCAGTTGTACATTTGTATGTTCAAAACATTATGTATATCTTGCATAAATGTAACAATTAATTTCATACATTGACGTTGATTTCTGAGTGGACAGGAATGTGATGGTTTCACTTTTGTTACTTGTAGCCTGGTAGTCTATATTGCTTTTATTTCAATCACAACCTTGTGGTGATTAGGATTATTTCACCAGCAAAAAGGCACAGGGGAAAGTTTTTTAGATGATCTTTTTGTAGTCCATTTTCAGAACATTGTAGTTTCAACACGGCGGACCCACGTCATTAACCTCCGCCGGCCCGTCGCATTTAATGGCGCCGCCTAGTGGAAATGTGGTCGAATTGTCAGAGCAACGAGATCGCCTTTTCCTAAGTCTTTCATAAATTCTCCTGACATCTTTCCTTAACCTCATGACTTTTTCCCCGGGGTTAAGGTAAAGTGGACAGTGAAAGGAGATGGGAGGGACAATTCGAATTCACCCTTTGTATATTGTGAAAAGAGGGCATACTTCCAAGAGGTTCAGGGATTTGAATTTGTTGAGTGATGCTCTGATTTAAAAGACAACTGCCCTCACCTGATTAATTTTTAAAGCACTGAAGCCTTTATTTGCACAACTTAAGCCTTAAAGGAAGAATGTGTGACATTTTACACATAAATATCGCAGAAATCAAGTATTTCTTGTATAAATGTCTCTCTGAGTCATGACTCTCTACAATGAGTGAGGAGCGTGAGTCCCTTCAGCTGTACTGTAGTCGGGCCGTGTTTACATCATGTTTACATGGACGAGAAGACCTCGTGTATAAACCTGTTTTAGTTGAGGACTAGAAGAATAACACAGCCTACTTACTGCCTATTTGGATGTCACGAAAGTGTGTTCAGATCACCGTCATTCTGTGTCAATGTATGTGCAATGTGAAGCAACGAGCTAACCAGTGTGCTAACATTAGCCTGCTAACACAACGATGGAGGCTACAGGCAAATGCAGCTGGAGCAAAGAACATTTTTTTCTGCTGCTTGGCCTTAATGGTACTTAATTACGATGCTTTGTAATTGATTAAACTCCTTTGTGTGAACTCGAGTGGAGAGTGGTTGGAGGTGTGCCGCTGGAGTAGACTGAGTAGAGGCTTCAGAATAGCGGAGGTGTCGCCAAACAGCAGTTTGTTTTGGTTTCATGCTGGTGCTCAAGGGCCACATTTACTGGATCAAGAAGTTAAACATTCATCGTTTAACGTAAGTTCTGTTAAAATCCATCTCAGACCACATAAAGTTGTCAAGGCTGCATTGTCCACCGAGCTATTAACATTTTTATTTCTACTGTTATGTTGGGCATTTTATCATAGCGGTTTATAGCCATAAACTCTATTTTCAAGGCAGCCTCAAGTGGCCCCTTAGGAACTGCAGTCGTTTTTCTCCACACTGCTGTGTTTGCATAACATGTTAAACCATACTAGCCTTGAATTAACTCTTTGCTCAGAGATAGGTCTATTGAAATTCCAAGCACGCTTCTTGACGGACAGCACAGCTGAGGTTTAAAATATTTATTCTCCTGTCTCTGACTATGGCAGCTCCTAACACAGGTTTCCCTAAACTGTTATCATGGAGCGCCTCTGACACATTACTCTGAATTCTCTAGCCATCTCTTTTCTCCTTCACTGGCTCAGAATATGATCTTTTGAAATGGTTTTCACACTGTGGGCCCAACATTGTTACAAAAAAGACCTTCCACATGGAATATAAGTGAAAATATCCATAAAGAGTTGCTTATATGATGTGAAGGATCTTTGGTCTTCTTCAAACATGAGTCATGTGCAAAGGCTAAAGAATGGCTGGCCCTGCTTTTGAAAAAAAAACAGCTTTTAACCTTGTCACCATGAAAGCATCCTGCATAATGTGTCACTCTGCCTTAGCCATGTGTTTTGAATAATACTATATATATAGTTAATCACCACATAAGAACCTTAGAACGTCCGTCAATAGCCTTTTGATAGGCTTTGATTTACTTATTACTCTGCCTTTATTTTGGACAGGCATCAGTACAAGACTCACCTTTAATTATTTTCAAACCAAACTCGGGCACACAAAAGACTATTTAACTGTGTACAAAAATCAGGACATCAATACTGTAAAACTAATTTAATTACAAACCACTATTTGATCTCGCTACGTCAGAGAGTATACTAACCTGCTCAACAGCTGATACCCATTCTAGCATTATTTCATCCACATTAATCTATTAAATTCTATAAGAAACAAAATGTGCAGAATGAAATATTTACAGCAAAAGCTCTATTTAAAAAAACATGAAGTTTCAGATTTCTTCCAAGCATCTCTCATGCATCCAACTTAGTGTTAAGCTTATTAAAAGTTCTTGTCAAGTTTGACCTTCAGGAGGAAAACAAAAAATATCCAGAGTTGGTCCTATCTATCCCTTCTCCTTATCTCGGTGCAGCGTCCTTCACAGGCCGTATAAAGACTGGAGACTTGATGTGTTGCTTTGCCGTCACTGCCATAGACCGACAACATGCTGCCTGCTGTTGTAAAGCTCTGCTGTGGAATCTCTTACCCCCACCTAAGGAACGTGGCAGGTAAAGTTAAAAATGTTTACTAAGACTTCATTTCAATTACGCCTGATGTTTTAGACTAAGTCCATTTATTTGAAATCTTTATTAAGGACATAACCTTGTATTGCTTTTACCCTTCTGATAGAGTTGGATCTACTATTGTCAGTTTGCTCTTTGTTTTTCATCAGCTTGTCCTATGTGATGCATTTTTGGGCTTCATGTTTGTTTAAAAAGTTGAGTTAAGTTTAGTTGGGTTGATGTATCATCTGAGGGAGGACTTGTTTCATTTAATGCAAACTGATACATGTTTACACATTTTCTTTACTGTTCAATCCTGCAGGTCTTCAACGCACAGCTGTGGCAGTGATAGGCCAAGAGATCACACATCTGCAGGGATGGAGATGCATGCAACACCTCATAGGAGCGCCTGCTGGATTCAATTATACAGGTTAAAAAAAAATCACAAGTCTGTTTGTTTCAAGATTATTACTTTTTGTTTGTTTTAGAGCGTTGAATACTAGGGAAGTTTCTTTTGCAGAGGACAAATCTGAAGCTAGAACAAATGTGCAGTCTAAAGGAGATCGGCTGTTTTATGTACAACAAGGCCACAAAGCAATGAGAAATGCTCTCAGGATGTTGGAGGACAGTGAAGGATGGAGAGTTGAGATTGCAGAGGTATATATTCGGATTGATTTAAGTGCAACCTCACTTGATTGACAGCCTCTACGGTTCTCTTACAATAATTAACACTGGTGTTGTTGTTGTTGTTGTTTGCTTCCTCAGAGTAACGGGGATGTAATCTGTAGCAAAGTGATGCCGGATGCCAGGAAGGTCTTCAGGCTGGAGGCGGTCCTAGACGGCACCGTCGACGAACTTTACGATCTCTTGTTTGTCAGAGTGGAGGAGATGAACCTGTGGAACCCGAGCATACAGCAAATCAAAGTGAGTGTGATACATACTGTTTAAGCAGACTGAAGAAAGAGGAGTCACGTTTTTTACAAGGGCAGGTATCTTTCAGAGTTGTATTCATCTGCTTCTTTCTGTGTAGAGCCAAATCTATTGATGCCATGTTGTATTGTATGCCGCAAAGAATGTTGGAACCCCGACCCTCCCTTAAAAAAAACAAAACATTGTTAACTAATAAAATAAAATGAAAAACATTGGAGAGTAAAAGAGAAGGCAGGATGGACAGTCATGCATTAAATGGTTACAATTGAGTTCTGCAGTGTTTTGAAGTTGTGTCTCATGTGTTTTTAGATTCTGAAGCAGGTCGGACCTGAAACAATGGTCACTTACGAGGTGTCCGCTGAGACAGCAGGAAATCTGATTGGACAGAGAGATTTCTTAAGTGTCAGGCACAGCTGCAAACAAGAGTCAAGAGTTTATCTCGGAGGAGTAGCCATTCAGCTGGAGTCCTTCCCACCGCAGGCAGGCTTTGTGAGGTAGGATCACACAGCTCGGCCATCAATCCGTTTCAACTGAACATCAAAAAAATGTAGAAGTGCGCAAACGGCCCATTAAACTATCTCTCTAACACTGTAGTGCTTTAGAGTAATCTCAGTCTGTCAGTCATGAGTCTCATGTTTGTGATATAAATCATTTAATAGTCCACTTATCCAGCACAAAAAACAGCAACAATGCAAATAACGAAAAGCTAAATGATTTGTGTAGGCGTAATCTCCCTCTCTCACATTAACATTCAGGATATGAGGAAACGGGTCTGTTGAGGAGAGTGCTTTTTAAACCGATTACGTACTCCTCCTGCTGTATCACAAAAACCTTTGACTTTTACCTGTGGAGTCTGAGCTTCAAAATAAACTGTAGAAAAAAAGAGCTACAGCGCATCATCTGGGGCTGATAATGTACTCAGCATGAGATCTTTGCTCTCGCAGCAGAGAGTGGAAGTTGTTAAGAAGCATACAGAGAGAAAATTGCTCTTAAGGCTACTGTGGGGAACTCTCCATTTCTCTTATCCTGACCCCTGTGGACAAACAGTACTTCTTCTTGATATGTGGATAATGTCCAGTTACATGCATCAGGAGTGTTTTCTGTCAAACATTTAATCCAGATTCCTTTAAAGTGCCAATGGTATCAATCCTTGCCAAGAAAAAATGTGGCAAAAATGTGTTTCAGCAGTGCGCTGTAAATTTGTGGAAACTGCAACACATAAAATAAGGTTTGACTGCCCTGATAGTGTGGAGAGGCAGTCTAAACTGAAAGTCTGAGGCACTCTGATGTGGTATAAAAATCCTTTATTAAACAGGGATGTGTCTACACATTTGGATTTCTGATACCTGATTTCCACACTGCAATAGCCTTTGAATAAAGTGCCTGAGAAAATGAGGTTATTAATATTAAGAAGTATATATTTTTTTCTTTCATATAAAATGGCATAACAAAATGGCAACCATTTATTATGATTTTAAAATAAATACAATAACTTCTCAATCAAATCAAACCAAGTCATTGACTTGTCCTGGAACCACTGAGTATTATTGGCAGCAGACAGATTTAATAGGAGGCTCTACAAATAGTCGTATTTACGTCACACACTCTTCAAAAGCAATTCGACGTACCTTCAGGCTGCAGATACAAGTGGCTCCATAAAAGAAAGCATGCCTTTTAATGCACAGTGCCTATTCTGTCACACTCATAACAGCTTGAGCATGTGTGGATGCTTGACATATTTTCTTCTATTGTTGTGCACACTTACTCTTACTAGTGCCATTTTGAAACTGAACTAAGCCACACAAGTATAGTCTACTCTTAAACTGTAGTATGTCCAGTTTTGTCTTTTGAATCACACTGATTACTAAAATTAACTTCTAAATGGATAAAAAGGTCAATAAAATTGAATTAAAAGTTTCAACCAAAAAAAAAAAAAAAAAAGGCTATCAAAATAAAAATATATTAAATAATTTAGTACAAGGACCTTGAGTTTGGTCACACCAAGAGCAGCACTTGATGATACATACAATGATATCTTTGTTGGATATTTACAAGAATAAAACATGTCTCATATAAAAGACATGATTCATTGAAATTAAGACCCAATCATAGAAATATATACACAAATGTCTGATTATGGAGAAAATCCTTGATAAGCTCTGGCTAAATGAAAGTAAATTAATTGAGTGTCTTTGCATGCCCGCAGAGCCGAGGATGGACCGACTTGCATCATCATTCAGGCTTTGGACAAGGACACAAGAAAAAGCCGCTTCACATGGCTCCTTAACATGGATGTTAAGGTACATTTTCTTCAGTACATTTTTCCTTTTGTGTTTGATTATAGTAGAAGCTGGGGCGTGTCCGCACTTTTTTGACTGGGGTGGCCTAACTGGGGCCATGACTTATGCATGAGTGGGATATATGTGCACATACACACGATTGAATTTCAATTATTTATCTTTTCTATTTCCACTATCTACTTTTAAATAACAAAAAAGAGGGTGAAATATAAATCTGTCAAGCTTTATTCTGAAAGAACTCAAAAAGACTTTGTCCAAAGCCACAAAATAATGACATCGATATGAAAACTCTAGCAGCCTGTTGCAACACAGCCCTATGTTGTTGATTTTACCACTAGTCCCACCTCTGACAAGGCAAATAGTAAATCATAGTTTAGGATTTTTGGGGTGGCTAATAAGATATCAGGGGGTGCCCATGGCTACCCCCTGGACACGCCCCTGAGTAGAAGCATCTGCTCAATGGAAGGTGTGCAATATGAATTATTATATTATTATATATTATTATATATATTTCATTACGAGAGATAACATTTGATGTGAGGAAGCATGTGATGTTTCCTACCACATGCTTTATTACTGCTCCCACACTTTTACCAGCATCTCTTTTTGGCTGCGCTTCTCAAGAGTGCAATAGATAAACAACGACAAAAATAATCCAAAATTGTATTCAAACTACCGGCTGCAATATACAAGAATGCTATAATGATGTGCAGTGAGGCCCAGCAGGGTAGAATAGTCAGAGTAAAAATGACTCAAAACGTTTGCATTTCAGGACCTGCACTTTAAATGATACAACATGTGAATGTTCATATTATCAGCAGAACCCAGCAGGCACACGTAGGCGCTGCAATTGTGAGATACAAGGAAGTAGAATAAACAATCAAAGGTAATATTCATACGACCGTGGCTTGGGGAGTCGGTGGAAGTAAATTGCACAATCAATCATCAACAGTGCGGCGAGTGAGGAGCGAGGAGGCAGGGGCTCCAGCTAGTGAACAGCCAGCTTTGTGGAGCAAGATGTTCCTCTTTTCATACAGCTGAAGACAAACCCCCACCACCCCACCCCCGCAAACGACTGTGCAGTCATTTGGCTAGAAGGCCCCTTTTACTCAATAATAAGTAATAATAAGTAAAAGACATGTTTCCATGTGTCATCAAAATTGAACATCTGAAACATAGTTACAATTCAGACGTAAACTGTAACTTCATTTAAAATTTGCACGGGAAACAAATGTGTGAACGAAGACTGGAGTATGAAAATGGAGGATTACTCAAATAGAAGGCAAACAGAGTAAGAAAGGTGATTATAAGTGTCACCTTCTAGCATTAGCATTTAATGTAATGTAGCATTTTAATTTCATAAAAAACACCTGATACAGGTTAGCTTCAGGGTTGCATCAGGACACCAATTTAACTAAAAGGACAGGACCGTAAATGCGCGATGGTTTGGGAATATCATTTCTTGAGGACATATAAACATCGCACAAAAATCGTTCATTGTTAACTGCTTGAGCAAGTCAAAATATTCTTAACCCCCGTCCAATGTGGCTGCTACAGAGACACATCACAAGATCCTAATGTGGCACCTAAATGGATATGTATACGAGTAAAGTGCAGCTGTCATAATTTGGGGTATTAGCATGCCAATGTTATATCTGCCATAAGAAAATATTAATTGCACAGAAGAGCATAACGGGAAGTCATTATATGAAAAATATTAGTTTTACTGCTATTTGACAAAAAAGTCAAAAGACTGCTTTTCCTATTAAAGGTCTCAAAGTGGAAAATGTGGTTCCCTACTTTGACATCTCTTTGACTGTTTACTCCTCATGGGGAGTCCTTCTCGGATTATCAAGGCTGATTAGTCTAACAAAGATAATGTCATTATCAGGGCTGGCTGCCAACATCCATTGTCAATCAGGCTCTGCCTCGGGCGCAACTTGATTTCACCAGACACCTGCGCAGGCGTCTCGCAGTGAGCGCTACCCTGGGCTGACTCAGTCTGTGTGATTTCCACATCGCTGCAGAACCCTGTCATCACTCAGGGGGAACACCGTGAGATGGAGTCTCAGTGATAGCCTGGCTGCTCAACAAAGTGGCGCCATTTCAGCACAAGCTGAAAATACTCCCTGGAGGAGACGCTCAGCCCCCCACGCTCCGCGGAGCAGAGCTGGCAGACATGAGAGTCAGTAGGCCAGTGCCAGCCTGGCGGATAAATGCTGACTTATTATAGGAATTACTGTCACAGTGTGCCACTGAACCTCATTATGATTTCCTGATAAGGAGTCAACGTTGACACAAGTATGAATCTGAAGGTCCCTGAATATGACTGAAAAATAAATAATGAATAAAGTACCTGAATGTGCCTGACTCCTTTTCTTTTATCATACTTTAAAATCGCTTAAGAGAAAAATCAATGAAAGAACAATGAAATTGGAAAAAAAATGACAATTCGAACGCACCCTTAAAGAGCCCATATTCTGCCCTTTTTGGGGTTTGTATATTTAATCTATGTACCTACTTTTGTACGTTCACAATAGCTAAAGTCAGAAAAAAGTGTCTGTTTTCATGTACTGCTCCTCCTTGCTCCCTCTACGCTCTGAGTCCGTCAGCTACACTCTGTTGAGCCCACACTGTTAGACCCCACGTGGGCCAAGTCTGCTCTGATTGGTCTGCCGATCCGCTCTGGCGTTATTGGTCAGTTGCTCAGCACGCGTCTCGGAAATTTCAACATGAGCTGCAGGGCTTGCCACAACGAGCCAATGGACTTAGATCAGTGATCTCACACTGACAATGACGTCGCACTGACAAATTCTTATCGAGGGGGGCTAGAACCGAGCGCTACATGCAGCTAATGCTACAGCTAACAGGAGGACATAGGAGAAGACACTAAAGAGCATATAAAACCAGAACAAGCATAATATGGGACCTTAAAGTAAATATTCCATGAAATACATTATGGGGATGGACGTTATACATAAAAGGAACTCAACTCAACACACTCAAAAGAGAAAAGCTTGCAGCGAATAAAGAAGTTGCACAAAAAACAGAAACTACAAAAATCTTGTTTCTTTCAAACATGTTTTACTTTTTTCTCCATTTCACTTAAAAATTCAATAAATATTAACATTTAAAGCTTTCATTCATGTACGTATATACAAGAACTATACAATAAACATAATGATGTTATGATCTGCAATGCAGGAATGATTTGACAGTATGAGCAGCTACAGTCTGGTGTTGCCTGTATTTTCCAATGGCATCATACCTTCGGCTTTATTCCTGGTTGTTAATTACTTTTCATAACCGGACAATTTACACTATATACATTATTATCTGAGAAATATATCAGTTACCTAAAAAAACATTATAACATAAGGAGTTTTCTTCAATTGTTTTGTTTTTAAAGTGTAAGTGACTGACTTCCACGTAGGCAGACTGAAGGCATGCTACAGTGAGTTGCCGTGATTAAAAACCAGCGAGGATGATCACCAGTACGTTGGGTTTGGGGGAAAAGATAAGAGCACCGGAGAAGGAGAAGCCATCAAGCTCCCTGTCTGGAGGGATGGTTATGGAGGACGGAGTGTGCCATTAAAATAATTATAGAGATAACAGGTGCTTTATTCTGATCACACATCCTTAAATCTATTATCATGTAAATGAATACATTTGCATCTAAAAGACGGAAAACGAGAAAAAATGATGAGTGACATTTTTGGGATGCGCTTTTTTCACTTCTTGGTTTGGAATAAAATGACAAGATTGATACAGTCCTATGTCTGCATTCTAAAGATGCAAAACTTGAAGTGAGGAACACTACCTTGCACTGTCTTGGGTCGAGAAATACATCAATAAATCCCTTTCTTTTTTCTCCTTCATCTCTGAGCCGTATCAAACAGTCTAAAAAAATAGGCTAACTGGCTAGGAGAGCCCATTGCCAAAGTTATACAGAGCTGTGGAGCGCCCTGTGGAAATGGGATATACGCCGTTCTCTCTGCTGAATTATACTATTAGATCGAAACTACTATTTTAAGTTGGAAAAGTTACGTATTGTTGCCTTAAGCGACAGACATTCTGATGAGCCTGCTGTTATTCAATGCACAGTGCTGTCACAACCGTCAACAAATAGAAACAGGAATTTTGAGACATTCAAAAATGATAAATGGTAGGAGTTTTAAAATTTAGTTTTTAAATTCCTTCTATTCTTAAGGATAAGAAGTGGATGCTCCTGTGAAGAACTTTCTGTTTGTGTAAATATTTCGCAACCCCTTAGGAAGAAACTATCTTTCTTATCTTACCCTGTTAATGTGTAAGTAGTATTTTTTTGCCAATTTTTTTTTTTTTGCTGCTTTAACAATAAATTTTAAAACACCTCGTATGAATCTTTG